TCTCCCCCTGGGCGGTAACCGAAGGAGGGAAAGCACGAGCCAGAAGGCACAGTTGCCAGCAGCAGTGGTTTTGAAGCAGACCTCTGATTCTATCGGGGCTGGTTCAGACTGCCAACTTTGAACTCATTTCCTTGGATGTGATGCCATTAGCGCAGAAATAACAAGCATTCAGAATAGAGAAGCCAGACTTGAGTTAATTAGGCCAGCTTTGGGAATTTCCCTTCATTACAGATAGTCTTTGTGTGTTGCAGAACGCAGAAAACTTTATAGAAAAATGTAAAATGTTAGGTGCCCGTTACATTACCACTGTTAAATTCATTTTTAAATAGCTTTTTCTTGTTCTTGGTGCATATAAAGAGTTTTTAAATTGAGTAATAGATTATTTTTTTCTCTCGGTTTTCCCTGAATATTTTGCTGGTGACAACTTGACTTGAGTGAATAATGTGTACTTAAGCTAAGCTTTTGAGCACGGATCGCGTAGATAATGCATTTATTCAAGAAAGCATCTGGTTTCCTGATATGGGTTATATGTCCACCTTTGCCACTTTGAACCCAGGGGTGGCTTGCTGGCCAGGGACAGTTACAGTCTTGGCTTCTCTGAGAAGAGGAGCTAACTGAACTGCCTCCTGCCCTGAAGGGTTCCAGCAAGTTCTCACCTTTGGCTCAAAAATGAACAGAGATAGAGGAAAGAACAGAAACAGAAATGGCGGTTTGGATTGTTTCTACAGTGAACTCAAAAGACTCGAGTATTTCGTTACTTTTAACGGATCAAACACTAAATACTGGGAGACCACCGAAGGGGAAGTGTGACCAGAAGGCCAGATGGTAGCATGGGGAGGCTATTAGCACAGCTCAGGGCTCCCACCTCTCCTGCTTGCTGCCACCGGCAGCCTGGCACCACTCACCTTCAGCCTGTGGAAGGAGACCCATGTCTGTTGACACTGCCTTTCAGCTCACTCTGATGGTTAACTGGCATCATCCATGGCAAGTGACTCAGTAGCACTGAGACCTGCTAAGTGAGGTAAACATTGATCATGGTAACTGTATTACAGCCATTATTGACCCGCACTGGATAGCAGGATGTAAGTTCTGGACCTTCACTTCAGGGCGAGTGTTGAGCTGTATAGAAATACCTTAGCCACCCGAGAACTCTCAAAGGTAGGGCTCTGTTAGTCATGCATAACTGAAATATTACTGGAACGTGATATGCCAGTTACATAACCCCGGCTGAGGTAGTTAATGCTGGGGGAGCTTGTCCTGTTTGCATTATGCATTATGTCAGCCAGGCTTCGGGAAGACTCCCGTTTCATCGAGTCCAAGTGGCACACTTCCTATGTTTTAATGTCTACAAATCAAGACTCTTCTTGCGATCCATAGGCTGTCATTTTTAACAGTGTGTTTTCTTTCTTAGTAGTGCCTAAAATAATACAGCTTGAACTGGATGGTATCTTAGAGTGCATAAAATATGTTCATCTCTTTGTTCATTTTCAGGCTCTGGGCCCTGTTTGTAGCTACTCAGTGCTGGTAATTGGAAACATGAGTGTTCTCAAGAGGCTCGTTCATCAGTACTTAGCTGCAAATTTGTTTTCCAGCCTTAGATAGTTTTCTGTAATTTAGTCCGTTAGGAGAGAAGGAAGCTAAGAATCAGTAGTCCTGCCAGTATTTTATATATTAACATCATAAGGCAAAAATACCACTGGGTATTAATGTTTCTGTCTGCATCAGAGTGAACTAAAAAGATGAAGTCCAGCTTCTTCCTGTAAGTGTTGAACCAGTTGCTCTTCATTTATTCTATAAATGTATGAGTGTCCGAACACACACACACCGTGTACACAGGTACACGCACACGCGTGCACACACACAGAGCCTCAATGGAATAAAAGAGATTTGGATCTGGTTCCTTTCATTCATTGAATTTCTTTCTTTGTTTCTTTTTGCTGTTGTTTTGTTTTTGTCTTTCCAAACAGGGTCTCTCTGTGTAGCCCTGACTGTCCTGGAACTCACTCTGTAAACCAGGCTGGCTTTGAACTCAGATCTGCCTGCCTCTGCCTCCCAATGGGGTTAAAAGCGTTTGCCACCACCATTCATATGCCACCCTGCTCATTCACCATTTCTTAAAGGGATTCAGTTCAAGCTTGTTGGTATGATTTAAAAGGTATTAAAAATCCATTCAACAATACCAGTGTGATTATTTTCTGACTGTGGTTTTTTTTTTTTTCTTATTGGCAGTGGGGTTGGAAAATGTTTGTTTCTTTGAGTTTTTGTTTGTTTGGTTTTTGTGTGTGTGTGATACTGAGGAGCAAACCCAGAACCTTGTACATGCTATATAATCACTCTACCATTTATTGAAACCCCTAAACCTTTTCAGTTTTTTTGTAATAGGGTCTCACTAATTTGCCTAGGCTGGGCTTGAACTCCTAGTCCCGCCTCAGGCTCTGAAATGGCTCAGATTACAAGCATACATCACCACAACTGGCCTGCCTAGGGTTCTTAAAGCTAGCCTCAAGACATAAGCTTAAAGTCTCAACTGTGTAAGAAGTTGAGACAGGAGGATTTCAGAGTCTTCCTAGATACAGAGTGAATTCAAGAGTGGCCTGTGCAAATTATCAAGACTCTGACTTAAATAGTAAGAAAGGGCTAGGAGCAGAGTGTGGCTCAGTGGTAGAGGGTTTGACTTGCATGTAGGAATCTCTGTTAAGTCCTCAGTACTGGAAAAAAAATACATTTTAACTTGATAGTATGTTCTTTCCAACTTGATATATGATTATCTGTCACTAGAAAACTTCAGTCTAATTATGAGTATTTCAAAGTACTCCACCCTGCAAAAAAAAAAATCACATTTTCTACTACATACTATTGCTGAAGTCTTTAAGCAGCTTGAAAAGTTTTGTTTTAAAATTCCTATTTCTAATATTAAAAAAGTTTTACATTTATTTATTTTGTGTGTATATGTATATATATACATATATATATATATATATACATATGTGTGGGTTTTTATGAGGGCCCAAGTAGATGTCAGAGGACAAGTTGGGGAGTTAGTTTCTCCTTGGAGATATTTTATGCAGGATTTAATAATGCTTTTTTGCTGTGGGATAATGCTCTTGTAACCTGTAAAGATTTGTCACTTATATTGGTTTAATAAAGTGCTGATTGGCCAGTAGCCAGGCAGGAACTACAGATAGGGAGACCAGACAGACGGAAGCAAGATAAGAATGCCTCACTGATAAAAGGTACCACACCAGGTGGCTAACATAGACAAAAGTTATGGGTTAATTCAAGTTGTAAGAGCTAGTTAATAATAAGCCTGAGCTAATAGTCCAAACAGTTTATAATTGTTATAAACCTCTGTGTGTTTCTTTGGAACTGAGAGCCTGCATGACCAGGCAGAACAGGAACTTCTGTCTATTCCTTTTATGAAATCCAATGTTAGTTTTTTTCTTAAATCTTTTAAAGTTTATGAAATGTTTTATACACACTAAAAATTCAACTTTAGTCTTTTACATAAAACTTCTGCTAAATAAAATAAAATAGTCATTGGCTTACACTCTTTTGCGTAAGCATTCTTCCAGATATAATTAATTTAACCTTCCACTTATTTTTATCAAGCCGCTAAGGTAGAGGAGAAAAATATCAGACTTAACTCTCGAGTCAGTTCCCCGTACTCTATAAAGATAATATGAAACTGCACAGATTGCCTTCTGGGTTCAGCTTTTATAATATATGAAAGTATATATAAAAATGGGAAAATCATCCCCAAATGTATATACATTTAAAAATGAACACCATTATCATTTTCTATTTCCTTGGAATTTTGTGTTTCTGTTTTTATTGCTTTAACATAAAATAATAACTTCATTGTGGCACTTTTATACATACATTGTACATACAGTGTACATGCATTGTAGATTGCTCTTATTTGTCCGGTCTCAATGCTCTCTGCTGCCCCTCCTCCCTGCTTCCACTGTCTACTGTTTAGTCCCCTTTGGCTTTTATGCCACACACGTGTGTTTATATATGCCACACAATACACATATGTGTATGTGTGGTATAAATATATATATTTTAATACATATACTGATAGGTACATTATATGTACATAAGCATATGTATAATCTTATGTATGTTGATATAATACTATATATATATAAACTTTAAATGTTTTAACTTCACATTGAATAATTTCACACATCACTACTGTATAGCGTGTGTGTGTGTGTGTGTGTGTGTGTGTGTGTGTGTGTATCTTGTGCCATACTTGAGATCACACCAACCCATGGCCTTGTGAACACTAGGCAAACACTGTCTCACTAAGCAGTGTCCCCCAGCCTGCTCGACATCTATGTTCAATGACTGTGTGGTACTTCCCTTTATGGTCCTGATTTGTTCCCATTAGGTTGCTATGCAGTTGTTGTTGTAACAAGCGTCCAGCTGACAGCAGGAGGCTCGGCTAGGAGAGAGGTACTTGACTGTGGTGTGGCAGTGACTGGCATCCGTGTCAAGGAGACCCATTAGTGGGAGACTAAGGAAGAAAAGCTAACCTTAGTTCCCAGCTGTCGGAGTGAAAGGGAAGAAGTGACTATAAAAACTCCTGCGAGCTTCAAGGATAAACCCTACAGTGTTAAGAGCCACAGGCAGCTATGCCCAGGACAGCCAACTGTGAGGTTCAGACTTTAAAAATCGAGACAAAATCCCCTCTGCTGGTGGTTGGACCCACAGCCAACTTGAAAGGCATTTGTAAGCAAGCAGATGGTGACTTTGATTTAGGAGATTTGGTGGTAAGACAAACAGTGAGGATGGTTGGGGAAAGGGAGCTTGCTCACAAATGCCTCCTTCCAGCAAAATAAAACTTCCAGCATAGAGCTTCGATGTAGAAGACAGTTTGTGGGGGCGCCCCATCTTGTTAGGCCTGAAAATTATCATTCAGGAAATAGCCTTTGCTTTTCAGAACTTTCAAGGGTTTGGTTTTTTCAAGAGAGGAAAAAAACAATCTTTTTCAGGCAGCCGCTGATGAAGCTGAGTCGAATGGCCAAGAGGATGAGAATGGTGGTGGGAAGTCGGGGGTACAGGACGCGGAGCAGACTTCAGCAGGTGTGTCTGAGTCTTCAGGTAAAGCTTGGTGACTTGTGAGGGAATGGTGCCAATTTTCCCTGCTGAATAGAAGGGGCATGTCAGGCTCTGTGGTTGTGCTGCCACCTAGAGGCCCTGGGGAGAAATTCTCACTATGGCATTAATGTTGCTATAAAACTAGAAACTCGGGCTTTGGAGATAGATAGACAGATGGATAGATGGATAGATGGATAGATGGATAGGTGGATGATAGGTAGAGATAGATATATATAGAGAGAGATAGATAGATATAGATATACACTGATATTCTTTAAAAGTATGTCTTCATCCTCATTCAAAAAATACTTAGTTTCTTTATAGCCGTAATTCAAACACTGAACTGTCCTCGTCGCTTTGTAGTCATTGTGATAAATATCAACTCGGGGAGAAAAGTGTTTATTTCATCTTAGAACTCTCAGATCACAGTCTATCCTTCAAAGGGGGTCAGGGAGGAGCTCAGAGCAGGACCATGGAGGCAGGAACCGAAGCAAAGACCGTAGAGGAACACTGCTTGCCTGGTAGGCACTAGAGAGGAAGGCGTAATGTCAGCCTCTAATCTCCAGATGAGGACAGCAGCACACACAAGGGAAAGTTAGCTTGTCACCCCATCACAAGTACAGACGGGTCTGTGGACATCCTGCCTTCTACCCCGCTGTCATTAAATGTTCCGTGTCACGTGGTACTCGGATGCGAGTACAGTTTGCTGGGAATCCTGCTGTCCTGGCCCTTGGCTGCGCATCCTCATGCAGTGACCCAGCTTGTCCTCAGGAGGGAGCACTCTGATGAAACGTTCATGGTGACTCTGAAGGGAAATGATCCGTTGTATGGTTTCCTTTTCCTCCTGCACCCACCTGTGACTTCCCTCCAGAGCCGCAGCATTTTACAGCAACAGTGACTCGCTGCAGCCCCACCGTGGCCTTTGTGGACTTCTCTGCCAGCGCGCAGCTGAAGAACGAGGTGCCAGAAGAACGAGACCAGAAGAAGCCAGAAAATGAGATGAGTGGGAAGGTAGAGTTAGTGCTGTCACAGAAGGTAAGGATGCAGCGGAGTGGAGTTAAATCCACAGGGTAATATGACTTCCGGGGGCGCCCAGCAGTCCCGAGGGCTGGCGGTCTCGCCCGTTCGTTTTCCTGTCTTCACTGCATGTTCATTGTTCAACATCACGCACACACACACACACACACACACACACACACACACACACGTTATAAAGAGATGCCAAAACCAAGGCAACTCATAAATGAAAGCATTTAATTGGGGGATTGCTTAGAGTTTCAGGGGATGAGTCCATTTTCATCATGGTGGGAAATGTGACATCAGACAGGCGTGGTGCTGGAGCAGTAGCTAAAAGCTAATAACTGGTCCACAAGCAGAAAACAGAGGGAGACAAAAGACAGACAAACAGACAGAGAGGCTGGACCTAGTATGGCGCTTTTGAAACCTCAAAGCCCACCCCAAGTGACACCCCCTTCTTTAAAAAGGCCACAACTCCTGATCCTTCCCCAAACCATTCCACAGACGAAGGGAAAGCACTGGAATCTATGAGCCTACAAGACACATTCCTATTCACACCCCCACTGTATATGGAGAGAAGGGGAAATACAGACATTTGCATTATGAATATATCAGATGCCTTAGCACACACAAACACATTTGTTATATATGCAGACAAGGATGAGCAAGGGGTAGATGCCCAAAACATACCATTCTGTGTTCTGTACCTCCAGCATTTACCATTTCTTATTTAATCTTCAAGACACTTACATTTATTTAAGCGAAAACATATTGTAGAACCCGTTTAAGCTTAGGTTTCACTGGCTGTGTATGGCCTTACCGTGACATCTTACTCAATATTCTCTTCCCATTGTGTACCAACTTCTTAGCAGTAGTATGTCTGATACCCCTCGATTTGGATATCAAGAAACTTAGGATACTGTGGGCTTTAAAGTCTTCCTCTCATTAAATGCAGTTCATATTCGAGTCTTACTTATATTAGTTGGGTTTGTTTTTAAACACTAGATCTAAAAACTCTTCGCTGTTTGTCTCAGTTGTTCATTTCTAAAGAATTTTAAAACTAAAGAGTGCATTCCAGACCAGGTAGGCACTCTGCACACATGACCCTGACCTCTGTAAAAGCTGCTAAGAAATCCTCATGACCACCAAGGGGACCAGGCCTGTACAGTAGTCAGGTTATTTATGGCAGTATTCCACCATTAAAAGTCAGCCTAAATACAGATTTGAACTTAAAGTGAAAAATTGACTACTTAGTTTATTTCAGACCGCATTGTCTCAGACATATTAGTTGTGCACCTGGATGTGCCAAGTACCTTACTAGTCACTGGATATTTGATGGGGAACAGGACACAGTACCTAGTCTCACAGAGCTGAGTGGAGTGCTCTTGGAAGAGCCTCTAAGATGCCTGTGGACTGATGTGTTGTGACTATTTCAGACCTCACCTCGTCCTATCTTTACACAGAGAGAATTGCCGGACCCTCTGAAGGTCCGTAGGGGATCATTGAATCAGGTCTCACTGTAGGGTGGGACAGGCAGGGGCCTGCGCCTTTACCAATTGTATCTTATCTACCATGTGCTTGTAATCATTTAATTATTCAAACTCAGTACTTTACAGAATGCTAACCTGAAAGGAAAACTTCATAACATTCCTGGAACCAAACAAAATGACGGCCATAACTTAGTGTATTCCTGCCAGTGCTCACCTGTGTTCCCCCATCAGTGTGAGCCATCTTTGACTGCCAGTTTCATGTCCAACCACTGTAGTTAAAAAACAAAAAAACAAAAAAACAAAAAACAAAACAAAAAAAAAACTTTCTCAGGTTGTTTATCTGTTTTGTTTGCCTTCTGTCATAAACCTTTTAGCTATTTAATAAACGTGAGTCTCAGAATCATGTTTTTAAAGCATAAACTATCCAGGATTCCCAGGTTATCCTTGGTATCAAATGCTATTATGTCCACGCCTTTAAAATTCTGTGCTGTTGACTTCTGGTTTGGAAGCTCCAGTGGTTGGTTAGCAAATGGAATAATGACCTCTAGGACAGCAGTCCCCCCCCCCATCTGTGGCCCTCTCCCCTCTCTCTCTTGGTCTTAGATAATGGTGATCACCATGCTTGCAACAGCTTTGATTTTCAGATTTCACTTGGGGAATGTCACCTTTCTAAAAGCAAAGCACCAGACTGGCATTTCTGCTATGTTTAATTCTTTCATTTGCAACCAGTTCTTCTCTGAACCTCCTTGTCAGTCTACACCATTCAGGAATAGCATCTCTGAGCTTAAGGCTCGAGGGTTGTTAGGGCCAGGAAGGGGGCTCGGAGGTTAAGAGCTCAGCTCCCAGCACCTATATCAGGTGGGTCACAGCCAGCCATGACTCCATCTCTAGGGAGACCAAATACTACTGGCCTTTGTGGGCACTTGTTACACTCACATGCACATACTGTCATACAGAGAGAGAGAGAAAGAGAGACAGAGAGTGTGTGTGTGTGTGTGTGTTATAAGTAAAAATAAATATTTAGAAAAGTAAGACTAGCATGTTGTGAACTTTGATAAAACCAGACCTTAAGTATTTGCTGTATGTTAAATGCTGAGGTCTATACAGCTATCTGGTTGACCACAGCAATGCTGACCAATGTGACTGATTATATTTCCTTCAAGATTCTCTTAGGATTGAATATATTCTTAATAAAGAAAAATAAAATACAGCAGAGAAGGAGTAAATGTTGTCGAGCCAACAGCTACAAGTTAGAGTTAAGTCCTATGAGAAGCAAAATGGACTAAACCCAAACAGCTGCCTTCTGCATTCAGATTCAGAAGTCTATGGCTCTTATCTTAGGCACTGTTGAAATATTTGGCATTCTGTCTCTGGCAGTAAATTGACTGGAAGCAATAGGACAACAAGAGGATGCTTCTACTCTAGAAGAGTCTTCAGACGTGGAAGAAAGAAATAAAATTAAATAGCAATGACATTTTAAAATCTTAAAGCAAACGTGAGAATTTTTAAAGCCTAAAAGGTCATCTAAGGCACCTCAAAACTCTAAGGACCCCCGTGCTGGCACTAGCTGTTTTGGCAATGTATCTTTGTCAACGGGCAAAGTATATGTGTGTTGCATAACTTTGTGGGAGAGTAGAATACTGTATTCGGAGTAATGTCCATTAAAAGAGGATTACTATAATGCTTAGCCTTACAGCCAGGACTAAGTAGTAAGACCTTGTCCAAAAAGAAGGTGAGGGAGGGGAAAGGCTCCAATGTCTTCTGAGGTTGAAGAAAGGGGATCACCACATTCTTATGCGCTTACTTAATTTCTAGAAAAATATCAACCACTTTATTGATTCAGTAAAGTGTGAAAAAATCATTAGGAAAGGAAAAATTGTATTGTAAAATTAAGCATTTAAGCTTACCGGCTTGTTTAAGTAGTCATAGTGTAAAATCAATCCACAGGTTAATTGCTGGACAATCTTTCTAGTGTCTGTGTCTGTTGCTGTGTTTCAGGTAGCAAAGCCAAAATCCCCAGAACCAGAAGCAACCTTGACATTTCCTTTTCTCAACAAAATGCCTGAAACCAACCAACTGCATTTGCCAAATCTCGATTCTCAAGGTAGGGGGGGGGGGGAGTGTTCTCTTAGATCTTCTTAGTCTGCTGGGCCCACCTGTGGGAAAATGTACCTCATAGGAATAGCTGGTGGCAACCTTCATGTGATGTTCCTGTAGCCATATTCCTCACCAGAGTCTGTGAATTGAGAATTTCAGATCAGAAAGCTGAGAGGTACGTTCTGTTTTGACATCAGGAACCTCGCCACGAAGACCACCTTGTCAGCTAGGCATTGTGGGTACAACAGGGCCTGATAGTATTGAGACCTTCAAACTTGTTTTGCCTTGGCTCCAAAACATGATGAGATAATTAAAAATAAAAACTCAATTTGTTTTTCAAAAAATCTATTATTATATGAACTTTATTATTAATTCCAGTCTATAAAAATAACCCGTTTTACTTAATATTAACTTTGGGAAAGTCAGATCCTCTGTTCTTTTTGTTTGACCTAAGTCTTGGGTATACACAATGATTAGTATAGTTACTCAACCAAAATTTTGCTCTTTCAAAAAGTTCTTCATGACTAGGTAGTGGGGGTGCATGCCTCTAATCCCAGCACTCTGGAGGCAGAGACAGGTGGATATCTGAGTTCAAGGCCAGTTTGGTCTACAGAGGAAGTTTCAGAACAGCCAGGGGGACAAAGAGAAACCCTGTCTCAAAAAAAAAAAAAAACCAAACAAATAAAAAATCTTCCTAATAAGAACATTTAATATTTTCATAAATGAAAAGTAAAATACATGAAACATTTAAAGATATATCTTCAGTATGTGTATAGTAACACATACACACTAAGAGTATGTTTTAATATGTTTAACACATAGCATACTTTGCGTACATTTTAATGTGTTTTGTATATTTGCTATGTTTTAATGTTTGATATAATGTAGAGAAGGTAACTTGGAGAAATATGGGAGCTGAGGATCTGTGAAGGCCTTAAAGCTCCCACTTTGTGCACCATATATGAGCTCACTTTATACCCTTAGCCTCGTGAGAAACCCAAGTGCTCACACCACCAGGAAGGACCTTAGGAATGTGAAGTGGAGAATATAGCATTCGAAGAACACTACCATCCTTGGGGATTATTTCTCCAAGTGATCATCCTAAGGCTGCACCAGTGCAAACCAGCTAGGGTTGGTAGGACCGTAAGGCTCCATGTGCCTCTTTAACATTTTCCTCCAGTGTGTTTCATAGATCTAATCTGTCAGAGAGGACGGTATGGTGTCATTATTCATGATTTATTATTACCTCTCTTTTCAAGAGTGAGAAGCTATTTGGGGTCACCATTAACACCCGCTGAGTTGGTCTCCATTAACTTTCATTGATTGCTTTTGCGAGCTGTATACAGAACAAAGAGCACTTGGTAGGAAACTAAGTGGTACACATACTAGTGGGTATTAGTCTCTTAATGGAGAGGCAGACTCAGTACCACCTCCAAAACATTTGACCCAACCTTTTCAGCCTTACAGTCCTGGAAATAATTAATAAAAATAAAATCTCACAACGGGGTCAACCAGTTGGCCATATTTAGACATTGTAATTATGTTCCATTTCTAGCACTTTATAACTAGTAGGCAAGAACTATAGTTAGGTTAAATATGTAAGCCTCACCAATTAGTCCTGATGCCTCAGATATTTGTATTTTCCAACCCCCGTTAAACACAGGCATTCTGGTTTTGAGAAACTGCTATTGAATTAAGGAACTTTAATTCATGTCTTACCCAAGTTGAATGGTTTAAAAAATAAAAACTCATTACACTGGAGTATTTTTAAAGGTAATTTCTCAAAGGAGAACTGGGTTTGGAGGCCCTTATTCTGTTATGATGTGTGGCTCCTGAACTCTGTGATCCTAAGTGTGAGTGCTGGGAGTAGACCACCTGGGTTTAAAGCCTCGCTCATCACATTCTGAGCTACAGCGCTCCCCCTTTGGTTTTCCCCAGGGACTAGCTATCACCTGTCAAGGAGAAATCACCATCCACCAGTTTTTAAGAGAATAGAATTCTAGCGATAGGGGTGGAAGTATGGAGCCAGGCGCTAGGCAGAAAGAATAAACTCTTTTAGAATGCTTTTCTAAAGAAGAAAAATCATTAACAGGACAGGAACACAGCTTGAAGCAGTAGTTCTCAAACATGAGTGTGTGCCCGAACCTGCGGGGCTGGGACCAAACCTTCAGTGTCTGGTTCTGTAGATCTGGCCAGAGGCTCTTTCTGTGCTTCTAGCAAGACCATGCGTCCAGTCAGCCCAGGAATCCCAGCCTGGAAGCCACTGACTTGAAGTCGTTATGTAAATGGTGCCTCAAAGACATTGCTGCTGGGCATGAAGCTGACTGTATGATTATTTAGACTCTACAAAATGATCTTTCTAGATGCCAGGGGCCTCTAGTAGATGTGATCTATGAAGACATGGTTGCCTTTGATTGGACTGTGGTGGAAGAAGCTGTGGCTTATGACTCAGGCCTAAGAATTTGGTCCACACTTAAGCAACTGGCTTGAATTCCGTCATCCAGTCCAAAAGAACCAGGAGCCCTAGAGCAACACCTCATAAATTTTCTCTCTTCCACAGAAATTGGTGTCTCCCCAATTTCTTTGAAGTCATCTATTTATAGATGCTCACACAGGCCGCTGTAGATCTGCCTGTCAGCCCAAATAAGATTCCACAGGCGCCCCCAAACACACACATGTGCATCAATACAGCCTTTCAACGCCCTGGAAACATTCCTAAAATACAGTTAAAGCCTGCGGGTTTCCTTTATCCAGCCCTCTGGAAACAGGAAAGTTATGCCAAAGTTATGTTTCTATAAAACACAGGCTTCGACCTGCAGTGTTTGTTGCTCTGAGAGTTCACATGACAGAGCCCAATGCATAAGGTGCAAATGCTTGCCGGGAGTTGTGTATGCTTGGCACACTGCACGCTATCACAGACATGTACCTGTCTCTATGTGTGACAGGAAAACAGCCTCATCCTCACCCCTTCAGGTGTGATGTGGATAGCATCAACCAGCCCACTGTGCATCTCTCCTGCCCTTTTATTCTTCCCTAAAGTTGCCCCTGCACAGTGCACCGCTGTGTCGTCATGACTTTTAACTCTTGAACAATATTCCCACTAAGTATGGGCCTGAAACCTTTCCCTCAGCACCTCCACAGCAGAAACACAGACTGCCCAGTTCGACTGCCCATTGTCCATATCGTCAGGTTTTACATGTATTCCGGTGAGCTGTGTCACACTGGGTTGAGAGTCGTTCAGTTCCTGGCTCAGCTAGAGCTGCCCCTTCTTTGACGTGTGGGGATGTGTTCTCGGTTCTCGCCCGGTTTCACGGATTTCTGTTTATTCTATTTTGCCATCTGATCTAGAGGTGCCTAGCAGTGCCAGTGTTCTGCTGAGAGTTCAGAACTCTTGGCTACGGTCCCAGTTTTTCTCCCAGTCAGGTAAACGGCATACTGGGTAGCTGCATCTCTTATATGTAAAAATTCATGTTGGGGCAACCAATGGTGTCTGTCGTTTGTCTTCATTTCCGATTTAAGATACTTAAAAGAAAAAAAAGATGCTTGTCTGTGACACACAGTTAGCAATGAGCTTGTTCTTTGGTATCAATCAGCACGGTCATACTAAAATTGGGAGGATTTCACAGAGCTTTATATTGATTTTTGAGATGCCAGAGAAGTAACACCACCCACCTGGCTCTTTACCATCCGCTTCCCCTTGAAATCAGCTGAGAAGCGTTGGCCACAGATGTGGTGTTCTCTTGTTAACTGTGTCACTCGCTGCTCTTCCTGGATGACATCGGCCTCTCTGTGTGGTACTTCTCCGTGTCAGACAGTGGGGGACCTGCTCTGTTCGCCAGAATGCAGGGTGTGCTAAGAGCCGGCACTAATAGCTGTAGTCATTGCTTCCTAGAGTCTAGTACGTGGCGCTGCTTCATGGGTCACCCTCTCAGTCCTCTTGGTGACGGGCACAACCTGCCGCGAGGCTCTGCTCTACTGTGATTTCCTAATGCTGCCCAAGTTAACCTAGGAGCCACCCTCCACTGAGAGGAGCAAAAGACCAGCACAGCCAGAAGCCACCCACACTGATGCCTTCTTTTCTGTCTTTTTACTCTGTGTAGCCGATTCTCCGAGCAGTGAGAAGTCCCCCGTAACCACACCCGTAAGTAGTCCCCCTTAAAGAACCAGGTTGTGCATTTGGAGTGATTTCAACTTATGTTTGATTTTCTTAACCAAAACTGAGATCCAAACATTTTTATTTTGAAACAGTTTGATGCTTTCTGGCACCAAGATTGTATATCATTATATAAAGTCATTATCCTGTCCTGCCTGGAAACAAAATGCTTATTTCTTTGTATCCGTGAGTCCGGGTTTACTAGCCGCAGGAGGTGCTTTATAAATCCTCCCTGTTTAATCTTCCTTGACTGCACAGTGAGATGCAAATAGCTTTCTTCTGGGGTGATGGTGAGCCTTACTTGAAATCATCATATAGTTGCTGCTATATGGTGCCTGATACAGGAATGATCCCTCCCTCTCCAGTGATCAGTCCAAGATGCTCCCTTTGTGGCCATGTAGAATGGACCACCACTTGCCTCATACCTTTAATCTCTCCAACCACGTCTCAGAACTAGGAACCGTATGTGAAAGTCCAATCATAAACCAACAGTGGTAATCCCAGGTTTCCTGGAAGCTAAGAACCCCAGAATGTCTGTAAAGCTGGCATCACCACACATAACTGAAGAGGATGATGCAAGCCATTGACTTCCAGGGTTGTCAAACTATTCATGCGCCCCTGGGTGGGGATGGAGAAGAAAAGTCACTGCAGAAAGATATACTGTCATTTCCTGTTGGGGAAAGTAGAACACGTGAGAGAATCCATAGATGCCGGTAGAAAATCCAGCTGTGTTTTTGTTTGTTCTCCAACTTGCTAAAACCTTCTCTAAAGATTTGTTTATTATCAGTCTTGGGTTTGAGTATTTAGTATGCTGGCCTCAGGGCTGGGGCTCCACTCACCTTGCTCTCCAGGTGACATTAACCCACTTTGGGAAAGCAATAGTGGTATAAGGGGCTCACTTCAGGTCCAAAAGACCCTAGTTCTTAGACGATACATCTCTCCTGGTATAAGCCAGAATTAGCACAGGCAACAAGCGCCGTGCCCAGGAGCACGGGTGCTTCTAAGACTCCTCATGCTCCCGAGAGACATGGAGCAAAGCCTTCTCATTCTTGTGGTTAGGCACTGTGTTTCTGTTACCCATAAAGAAGCACCGAGGCATAGAACCAGCCCGGCAGCTTGAAATCAAAGTAAAAAGGGATTAAGTTTGGAAGCGGTTTCTGCCACCAAAGAGGACATTTAGTTGTGTGATTTGTTTCTATGTCCCTTGGGTACCATATTGGAGGCTATTGTCTTCTTGCCCTGGCAAGGCACCCAGTTCTGATCGTGGGGTTGCTGTCTTTGTTTTTCCTGAGCAGTTTAAGTTCTGGGCATGGAACCCGGAAGAGGAGCGTAGGCGACAGGAGAAATGGCAGCAGGAACAAGAGCGTCTGCTCCAGGTAGGACCAGCCTGCTGGTTTCCCTGTGCTCGGTAACTGTGTACTTGCGATGTCTGTTGCATTGAATAGACTTTTAGCACAGGGAACATGGAATCCAGTTCTCAGAAACTCAGGAGTTTGTCTATGCTCGGTGTCCAGGCAACCGAGCCTTGTACCTGATTGTTCCTGCTAACAGGTCCAGTGACGACAAGAAGTGGGGAAAAATACTCATATTAAATACTTTAAAAAATATATCTCTAGGTAATTATTAAGGGTCGGCCTGTACTCATTACCTCCTTAGTCACCAGTTCTCAGTTCAAGAAGCAAAGAGAACGAATTGCCCAAAAACTATTTGATAACATTAAGGTAGAATAAAATTTGACATCAGTCTAATTCCTTTAACAGAATTTTCATTCCATTTTTCAGCGAAAACTGATAATGGTCGATTCTAGAAGTATTCCAAGAAGAAATGTAACACGCTTCCATTTGCTTTCTGCCCACAGTGACTTAGTGACCTCTGAAACTGACCTATTTGTATACTTGGGGTGTGCCAGGAACACATCTGAATAGCCTGTGTTTAGGTGAAAAGGCAAAGGGTCACAGATGTTGGGTTAACCGCCCAATATCGCATGGTTGATAGATGCAGGGCCTGGACCCAAGCCTAAGTCTCTACTCCCTAAAACCTATGCTGTTTCTACTACACACTCAGACACTCACATAAAGAAGTGGTGTAAACCTTGTTGAATTTGATGGTTCCTGCTACTCTAGAACTGAAGGGCAAAGCGATTTATTCTCCTTTCTCTTCCTATTTTATCCTAACCCTTTGCCCTGATTCCCATGGGTAAGGGAGTGGGTTCAATGGTAAAAATCAACTATTTGAATTTAGCTCTGCAGTTCAGTTAGGTCCCTTTGGAAACTTCAAAGGGCTAGGCCTTGATGACCTAAACGATAATAAGAACCTCTGGATTTCCATTCTAAATCTTTATAGTATTCTGGAATGAGGGGCCGTTTGTTTTATTTTTGGAATTGGCTTTGGTTTCTTTTGTGTGTTTGTTTTTTGAGACTCACTAGATAACCCTGCCTGGTCTGGAATTTTCAAAGACCCTGCTGTCTCTCTCCTGAGCACTGGGATTACAGGCGTGCAGCGCCATGCCCAGCTTCTGCACTATTTGGTTCTGATAATAAGTTTCACTTGTATCTACGGCTTCTGCCATGGTTTGGCCAGCAGTGCTCTACTAGAATCAGCAAGAGCACCCGTCTGCAGATGTCCCCATGAGAGCCTTTTGCACCTGAGTCGTGACATAGCAGCTGCTGTCTGGGGACACCTCCATGTCGTCCCTCCAGAGAGACTCACAGGCCTGTCCTAGCCCCAGACAACGACAGTAACACGTCAGGTGTTGGAACATGTGTGCACAAGCGCATGTCTCCTTTGTCTATGAGGTTTTCATTTTTTTAAAAAGATTTATTTATTTATTATGTATACAACATTCTGCCTCCATGTATGCTCGCACGCCAGAAGAGGGCACCAGATCTCATTGTAGATGGCTGTGAGCCACCATGTGGTTGCTGGGAATTGAACTCAGGACCTCTGGAAGAGCAGTCAGTACTCTTAACCACTGAGCCATCTCTCCAGCCCTGAGGTTTTCATTTTTGAGGTTTTCACGGGATCAGTTCTCATTTCAAACACTGATTTTGATCTTCACATACTATTTTTTTTTTCTGGTGAGCTGTCAGGGACTTCCTGTATATTTTTATATCATTCTTATAAGGAGTGTTTTATTATATCTCAGAAGTGGTGACGAGTATTGCACCCTTTCTGAGCACAGGAATGGAAACTCTCACACCAAAGCACTGTGATGAGCGGTTTAAAGGCTCTCTTGATTAAAGTTACTGTGAGCTGGGCCTGGAAGGCCTCATCTCATTGCCATGGTGATACGCAGAATGCTTCTGCCTCTCAGCTGATGGTTGTCTGGAGTGCTTTGGACTTTTCTGCCCTGTCTCTCTTATAAACTTAGTAGATTTTATAACCTTTTATTAAACTTCCTTGCCAGCAGTGTTGGTTGGCTTGGGCTTTAATTGGTTGGTATTTACAGGGGTGGGGTTCAAACCTAGACCATGGAACGTGCTAAGCAACTACTTCCCCAGCCCAGCAATATATTTCTGTTGGTGAAATAGCAAAACTCACCTCTGAGAGGCTCAGCTGAAGTAGACTCTATGGGTAGCCTACCTAGGACCTCCCAAGCTGAGGGAGATTGTTGATTGTTGATTTTTTCATCCTTCATGAACAATTGTCTGTCTGAAGAGAAATTCTGAAAAACACGACAGCAGAAATCTGACTTCCCATGGGATTTTAAATGTCTGTGTTAGTTAATTTTCTCTTGTTGTGATAAAAAAAAAATGCCCTGACAAAAAGCAAGTTAGGAGAAAAGGTTTATTTTGGCTGACAGTTCCAGAGTGCTACAGTCTGTCACAGTGGGGAAGGCATGGCAGTGGGAGCCAGAGGCCTGGCTGGCAGTGAGAAAGCCAAGTGGTCACATTTCATTCACACGGTAGAAGCAGAGAGAGAAGTGGAAGGGAGATTGGTCCCTAAAACCTCAGAGCCCAACCCCAGTGACATACTTCCTCTGGCCAAGCTCCACATCCTAAAGCCTCCCAAACAGTACCACTAAGTGGGACCAAGTGCCCAGATACACGAGCCAGTAGGAGGTGTTCCTCATTCAAACCACCACATGTACCTGACTCGTACCTAATACCCAGCATCTCTTTCTACGGTGTGCATGCGTTAGATTCCAAATGTTCACTCATGAAGAATATCTTGTAATGTATTGTGCACGGTGCTTTAGAAGAGGGGGAACATCCCAGCGATGGGGTACGGTGGTCACTCCCAAATGTTCTTTGGACATCCCATGACAGGAGAGGTACCAGAAGGAACAAGACAAGTTGAAGGAAGAGTGGGAAAAGGCCCAAAAGGAGGTGGAAGAAGAAGAACGCAGGTACTACGAAGAGGTAGGAAATTGCCAAGAAGAATGTGACTTTGACAACACAGTCCCTCAAAGTCTGTCACTTCCCTTTGTGTCTGCAGTGTAAGCTGGTTGTGGGTGTGTCTGACTCTGTCCTGTAGCAGTGTCCCTTCAGTCTCTTGAAAGAGAACCACATCATATGGGTTCTGACAGACCCCATGTGGGCTATAGGAAGAACGCATTGGGCCATGTTCAAGAAGCCACTGTGATCACATCAATATCTGATTCTTGATCTATCTTAGAGAACATAAAAACAGCAATATCAGGGCTGGAGAGATGGCTCGGTTGTTAAGAGCACTGCCTGTTCTTCCAGAGGTCCTGAGTTCAGTTCCTAGCAACCACATGGTGACTCACAGCCATCCATAAGGAGATCTCATGACCTCTTCTGACCTTCAGGGGGAACTCTGTATACATAATAAATAAGTCTTAAAAATAATTTTTAAAAAAGGCAGGTGGTGGTGGCATACATCTTTAATCCCAGCACTTGGGAGGCAGAGGCAAGTGGATCTCTTTGAGTTTGAGGACAGCCTGGTCTACAAAGCGAGTTCCAGGACAGCCAGGACTCTTCACAGAGAAACCTTGTCTCGAAAAACCAAAAACAAACAAATGAAAAAACCCAGCAATCTGTGTGTGTACTCACTTACAGCAAGAGTGTTTGTAGTAATGAATTTGTTTTGTAGGATAATTTTAGCATTGAAGCTAAATACATCCTTACTACTGTCTACAGCAATACACCAGGCTGGAGAACTTTAGAGGAGACTTGTGTCCTTGTAATGTTTTAACAATAGCAACAGAATTTGGAGAGGCTGTCTAAAGTGTTCAGTATCTAAAGTTTGTTGTCAATATTGTTGGGAACTTTGCCTTCCGCATAACTGATTTAGCTGATGAGCTCCACAGTAGTTTTGCTTCACCCTGCTTTTCTGATTAATTAAACACTAGTTAAACTTCGTGTTTGTAAATTCAATACGAAGTTCTAAACTCCTGCCTACTCGGTGTATTTGATTTGTGTGCTCTGGAAAAATGCGATTTCCTTAATGCCCTGCTTTCTTGTATATGTTCTGATGAATCTTCTTTTCCTGGAGTTCCTTAATGTGTCTTTTTCTCTTGACAGATTTTTAAAATCTTTTTTCTTTTTTTTTTCATTTATCCCTGTCTTTGCCCTAGGAGCGTAAGATAATTGAAGACACGGTGGTCCCCTTCACTCTTTCCTCGAGTTCTGCAGACCAGCTGTCTACTTCCTTGTCTGTCACTGACGGCAGCGGGACTACGGTAAGATCACTGATGGAAGCCGAGTGTGACATAAGTAACTTAAGCCAGGCTTCCCATCACACTTAGTAACCTCATACCAAAGCTGGCTGTTCGTCCAGAGCCACAGCAGCTCCTGCGTGGACACGACACCTGGTGTGTTGTTCCCGCTGTCACCCAGCCCTAGGCTCCTTTCCTGCAGAGCAGTAGCCCTTGCCCTGACCAGATCTTCCCGGACAGGCTAGCAGGATAGTAAACCCATGTGCTGGAACCTTCTCTCTGCCTGGATCAAGCATCACTCTTTCCTTCCACAGCCATGTGCCTCCCCACCATGCCACGCACCCCTCTGCATGATTGGCAGCAGATATGCCCCCCAGTGCATTCTCCACCAGCTGCATTAAAACAAGTTCATTACCCGTAAAATTCCACATGAACCTGACATGTCTTTGGGTAGAGAGATCCTGGAAAGGCTGGTCAGTCCCACATCCCCCAAGGTGGTGGGGGTATAGATAGAAACATGTTAAATCAAATAACTCATGGCTACCTAAGGCCTTTTGTCCTGAAGTAAGCAGTCCCATGTCTTTGTTTTGTTTGGAAAGGGAAGTTTCTTGACCAATCCCTTTTGTGATCATTTTTTAGAAAGATCTCAATGGCACATTTATTCTAAATATTTGAAAACTGTTGAACTCTGTTAGTTTAGGAGACTAGTCTTCAAATTGTAAGCAGGGGGACTGACAAACAGGGTTGGGGCAGGAGTAGAAGAGCGGGATGGCTATCATCGGCACGTTGTATGCATGTCTGCAATCTTATAGCGAATCTCATTCACTTGTACAAAAAGAACATATTAATCATTTCTTTAAATTTAGAGCCAAAAAAATAGAAGAAAATTTTCATTATTCAAAGAGAGGAAAGGGGATGGGTTAGGTTTCAGGTAGTCCGTGGTCAGATGTAAGTCATTAGGGGGTGGGTTTCAGAGAGTCCATGCTCAAATATGAAAGTCATCTAGCGCATCTAAAAAATATATTCACAATGATCCCAATTTTTCCATCAGAATAAAGTGGACTTGGAAAACTCTCAAGACAAAGAGAAAGAGAGAAGACAGAAGATACCTTTCCAGGAGAGCGACAGTGACCAGTTGCTCAAGGCTGGGGAAAGTGGTTCACCGAAGGAGGACAGGTGTGTGCCCATCCAAGCGTGCATGGGAATTCCCTCCCAGGAAGGCGATCCCACTGCTTTAAGATGATCAGTCTAATGCTGCATTCCATGTTGCTTAAACACGCTCCAGCAGCGCTGAAGTCAGTGTCCTTGGGTCCATGAATATATAGACTTATTTTTAAACAGGCAAAGCCAGTTGTGGTGACAGGAGAGACAAAAGGATCATAAATTTGAGGCCAGCCTTGAGGACATAATAAGAGCATATCTCAAAAAAAAATATAATTAAATTTAAGAGCTGGAGAGATGGCTCCGAGGATAATGTCACATACTACTCAAGCCTGCAACCTGAGTTCGATCCCCAGAAAGCACATACAAGTAGGAGAGACCCAACTCCATGGTCATCCTCTGTCCTCCACATGCATGGTGTGACGTGAGCACAAACATCATTGATGGGGAATCTTTAAGAGGTGGGACTGAGTTAGGGTGTGGCTTTCTGGGACCTGGAGAAAAATAGGCACATGGCCCCGGTACGCTCTCTCTGTGGTTTCCTCACAGCACAGCTGAGTTTGAACTTCTCGTTCCTGTTTTGTGAGTTTTCCCCTTATAATAAATGAAAATATAATTGTTTTATCTTTTAGCTAGCCTGGTTATTTCACAAACTGGGTTAATTCAACACATCATATACATGCACATTATAAATGTTTTAATAATAATGTAAAAAAATAATAAGGGAGACCTGTTTTAAATAAGGAAAATAGTGCAAATCATCAAAGAAGCTTCTTGTTGACCCAACACCTAAGCTTTCAGTTACCTGAACTAGCGGCTGTGCCAGAGAGAAAAGAAGTTCAAGTCCTGAGGTTCCACCTACCTTGGTTCCACTGTGGACCTGAACTTGGCTGTGGCTGTACTCACTGATGTGAGCATGTTTACTCGGAGTGATAATGTGAAGGATAACCAATTTGTCAGAACCAGTTGTGGCTAGTCACTCATGTGTGTACTCTAGAATGTTCCATGGGAGAGCCAAAACTGAACCCAGAAAACCCAGCGTACACAGAGTACCTGAGACTGGACCCGACTCTGGGCTACAGGTTATCAGTGCCACTCACCCTTGGCTAACCTGGAAGGAATCTGCAGGAAGCCCAGGAAGTTGACAGCATCCTGCTTACGAAACAGATGCTTGCCTCCGGGGCATGAGATCCCACATAGGTATCAGCAAGTACGCATGCGCCTGTCACACGTTCCCAGCATCCCAGAGAGACCCGAGAATGAGAAAGGTTTCTAGGTGTCATAGACTGACCAAGGCTGGGAGCCGAGTTCCGGTGAGGGTTTGCGTGGAGTGAGCTGCTCGCAGCAGACACTGAGCACCAAGTTTGACTGGCAGGGCGTGGTCCTGGAAGAGCAGCTCTGTTTCCAGGTAACACTGCTTCCGAGTCTGGGAAATGAGCTCTGATAGGGGAGATTTGAAGGATCCCAAAGCACACTCCATGTGCGTGTCTGCTAGTTCTCCACACAGGCCTTGGCTCTGAGTTTGCTGTTTGCTTTCTCCAGGCTCCTTTCATTGTCATCAGAAATTTTGCTTTTATCCCCTTAAGTCTTTCCTTTCTCTGCACACAGAAGTCACTGAAAATCTGGGGAATTAACCAAGGCTGCAGAGATCCCAAGTGACCTCAGTGACTTATTTATTCATTTGTTTTTAGATAGTATATTGCTTTGCAGCCAAGGCTGGCCTTGAACTCGTGATCCTTCTGCCTCTGCCTCCTGAGTGCTGGCATTACATATGTGCTTCATCGTGCCTGACTTCCAAGTGAAACCTATAATAATTGCTCTCTTGTGAAAATCTGGGAGCATCCCTAGAGATGCTCAGCCTGAAGAATCTGGTGGGCAGGGAGGACCTCAGAAATGATCATTTCTTGACTGTGTTAAATTGTTGTTAAAATGCACAGTATTTTATAGTGGTTTTAGATCAAAAGAATAAGCAAAAGTCTATTTCCTTTCCTTAGACTGTAATTGCTAGCTCTGTGTCCTTGGGTATAGAAACAGTAAGTTTAATCAGATGCTGTTATCTCTGCTCTGAAGATGTATCTTTGTTTTAACATTAGCAGCCTAATCCAAGAACCCTCAGCTTGTTCAGAAGACTCCATGTCAAAAGGAATCCATCTGGACCAGCGGCCAGAGGCGGAGGCTGAGACCCCACACTGTGGTACAAGCCCACAGCTAGCTCAGGGTAAGAGTGGAGAAACAAATCCCAACATTTAGGTTGCTGTAAACCCTCACAGCTTCTGTTAAATATATAACACATAAACTCCCGTCATGTGACCAGACTACACAAGGTCGTTGGGGCTTCAGTGAGACTTGGACAGTTATTAGAACTTTACAGAATAGAGGCTGCTGAGATGGATTAGCGAGTAAAGAACTTGTCATTAAAGCCCGATGGCTTGAGTTCAGTCCTGAAGACTCATAGAGCAGAAAGAGAGAAGTAACTCCCCGATGGTGATCCTTCGGCCTTCACACACACACACACACACACACACACACACACACACAAATAAATAAATTAATTTCTTAATTTAGAAGGAAGAGCTGGAGAGATGGTTAAATGGTTAAGAGCAGTGACTGCCCTTTCAAAGGACCCAGGTTCTATTCCCAGCACCTATATGGCAGTGCACAACTGTCAGTCACTCCGTATCCAGGGCAATATGACACTCTCTTATGGCCTCCATGGCACTGCCTACATGTGGGATCACAGGTGTACATGCAGGCAAAACAACCATACACAGAAAATAGCATTTTTTTAATCAAGGGGAGACTTGACAAAAACCCTTTAAGTTACCATAAACAGTGCATACTTCTAATGTCCCAGTTGTACCATTGAACATAACCCCACCCCAGAAATGATCTTGGCGGGTAGACTGCACCAAACCAGATTGAGCTATGTGTGGAACACGGTCCACAGAGAATTCCTGTGAGGACCAGCAGCCACTGGCGCATTACATTCCGGTGTATTCCTGGGTATCAACGTGATGCTGCTGAGCACGCTTATGTTCTTTTCTCGGTTTTAGAGCCACCTCAGAATCAACAGGTATCAAACCCATCAGCATATATGTCAGAAGACGTGAAGCCCAAAACCCTGCCCCTGGATAAAAACCTGAATCATCAGCTCGAGTCTCCGGGTGAAAGGCGGAAGTGAGTAGACAAATAAGGTGGATGTGGGATTCTTTCTTTCTTTAGCGTATTTACTTGGACGGGGAGCAGTGTATGATGGAAGGATGGCAGCAGCTTCTCTGTGCTCTGTCTCCATTGAATCCTTTTGAAGCACTTCAGCATAATAGGTGCTTGAGAGTATAAAACTCTTTGTCTCAGTGAGCCTTCCCAATAATGTTACGAGGTTGATAATCCTAGTTTTCAGGTGAATAATTTAGGGGAGTTACATATCTTGCCCCCAGAATTTGACCGGTTATGTTTGAGAGGAGTTTACAGAGGGCCAGAACTTCACAACAAGATGGCGAATAAACCGTGCATCGCACTTTGACCACGGTTAAGCCATGCATCGCACTTTGACCACGGTTAAGCCAGTTAAGCCACGCATTGCACTTTGACCACAGTTAAGTTGTGTATTGCACTTTGACCACAGTTAAGCCGTGCATTGCACTTTGACCACAGTTAAGTTGTGCATTGCACTTTGACCACAGTTAAGCCACGCATCACACTTTGACCACAGTTAAGCCGGGTATCGCACTTGGAAGGTCCTAGCATTCATTACTTTAACCAGTCATTCTACTTGGATCCGGTACCCACTGTGTGGGCACAGAGCCGGTCTGCCTCATACCGACACAGAACCTTGAGGATGTGTCTTAGTGTTTCCCGCCTTAGTTTCCTCATTGTCAGGTTGGAACGCGACTGGTATCTTCCTCAGATTTCCATGCCTGGCAGACGACCAGCACGGCACTGTGGATCATAAGCAGGCCATGTTAGCTTCTCCTCCTTCTCTACACGGTATTAAACCACCACCCTTCTCTCTGAATCCTCCAGTTTTCATGGCTGGGTATCTGTGGCCCCGGGATCGACAGGAGCGCAGATCGCCTAGATGCAGTGACTCGCAGTGGTTACTGCATGATTTTCAGCCTCTTTTTCTTTCAAGCCATGGTGCTTACACTTTGAAAATGTGACTTTTGGAGGAGACAGGTACCATCTGAGGTGGGGGCGGGGCGCAGGGTGAGCAGGGCCTCAAGGGATCTCCCAGTCAAGCAGCCAGAGACAGAGGGGTTTTGTCCTCTGTGTTCCTGTTTTCTTTTCCTTGTCCTTTTCTGTGCCCTGACTAGTTCTTCACTCACGATATTAACTTTTCCAAACTGACAACCTGTTCCCACACAGGGCTCCCAAGCAGCGCTTGCCACTTTGTGACATGCCGGCCTCGTCAAATTACAGCCTTCTGATTTCTTATGACCTAATGAGTATTAAACAGTCTCGACACCAGCTTTCAGTGTGGACATCTAAGGCAGGAGCCACGGCACTGAAAATCCCCTCTAAGATCGCCCTGTTTGTTTGAGTGGCCACATGACCCTAGCTGCATGATATCTTTTAATTTTAATTTTGTGGTCTTTACCATAAAGCGATTTTTTTTTAAAAAAAAAAATCATCTCCCTGAACTTCTGGGCTGCCCTTAAGAATTTCTTCCTGTGTTTTTATTCATCTTTCAGTCCCATTAAGTCTATAGTTTTTGTAGGAAACACAGGGTGCAACAACAGCTTGTTCAACAGCTTAAATAACAGCTCCGTGATTTAAATGACGAAGAAATCACCATATTCTCCTTTCTAAGCAGCAGTGTCAGTGTGGTTTCCGTTTTACACACCTGCGCGTTCCTTCTAGACGTAATTGCTAATTTTCCTTCTCTTCCATCCCCAATCCACACTTGTGAGACTGAGCCAGGAGGAAGACCAAACTTCAGGCCCACCTAGGCACCTTACCTCAAAACAAATCAAGCCAAGATGCCAGCAGGAGACTCCTTTGTGGTCCTTTTGTTTTAGTTTGAAGCTAAAATGTCTTTTATTGTGGCTTCTGTTAACTTTTCATAACTGTGGGCTCCGTTGCCGTGTTACAGGAAAAGTCCTCGAGAGAACTTCTGGGCTGGACCCCTGTCCCCCTGTTCTCCTACCCCTCCCAGCCAGTCACCAAACAGGTATAAGAGGTCAGTGAGCCTTTCAGAGGCTGTTTTATGGTCCAGCACCTACGGGCATGATTCTGGCCAGATTAGTGCTTGCCAAATGATTCTGAGAGACTTGTCATCTACATTCCTCCTCAGACCACATGCACAGAGGGGGAGGAGTCAAGTAAGCATCTCCATCTGCCTGCGGATTCATTCATCAGCATGGAGTAGAAAAAGTCAGACGTGTGGTGCTGACCGTGGCCATTAGGTTTTAATGACATTGTGTGGAGCATGCAATCTAATAAGAAGGCCCACCAGACAGTTGCTGGGCTCCGACAGCTATGCCTCCGCCTCCAAGATGATAACCCTCAGAGGGCAGGGGGCTGCTGGCTCCCCCAGAGAAGCGGAAGGCTGGGAAACAAAACTTCATCCTCTTCCATCCCTCCCTAGATCTGACAGTGGCTCTGGGCAGTAGCTGGTCCCCGTGATATCTTTAAAAGCTGCCCAGCTGTCTGTCTGTCACTGGCACAAATAACTAAGAACTAAATGGCTTTCACTGATAGAGAATTTTCTTTCCATGGCTAGATAGAGGTACATCTTAATCACTAGGGTTTGATGAGGCCAGGCCTTTGATGAGACCTCTCACTGTCTGCCCTTCTGTTTCTCTGTCCCTTTGGACCGCTGTGACTTTCAGATGACAATACCGGTGAATTTCTCCCGGGCTTTGCAGCAGAAGGCATCATGGGAAAGCCGCCATAAGGGGACAGCCCTGTGGTGGCAGGTGGGCCATTGACCCGGCCCTTTCACCCACTGTGAGCTGTTGAGTTTATCTCCAGTGTGTGAGTGGACAGTGTCCGGGGCTGTAGGTAGACGAATGAGGGTGGGTTCAGTCCCAGGAGTTTACAATATAGACAGAAAGCATGTACCATTCCAGCAGACAGTGTTTGTTCTGGAAGACACAGTAGAGATATGCTGGCCAACCCCAGGAGAGCCCTTGGTGGCACACAGGGAGGTCAAGGAGAGACAGGGACCCTATCTCTGAGGCTTCCCAAGGCACCTTCTCCCCTCCATTACAATGGACTCTTTGTAAAGTAAATGTGTAACATGAGGGCCAGCTTGTTGGGGTTTCTGTCCCACCCAGCACCCCGTAGCCGGCATACCCCAAAGAAAATCACACACAGGACTCCATAAGATTATAAAACTGATTGGCCCTTAGCTCTGGCTACTTGTTAGCTCTTATAACACATATTACCCCATTATCCTTATCTACGTTACCCACATGGCTCAGTACCTTTTCTAGCTCTACTTCCTGTCTGGTTGACCCGCCTATACTTCCTACCTGGCCAATCAGCGTTTTATTAAAATACATGATTGACAGAATACAGACAATTCTCCCTCACCATAAATGTACTGGAAACTACTAAGGCCACATTGAAACCCTAATAAAAGTAACTCTGAGTGTCTCGTTAGGACTTCTGTAAACATATGATACACATATTAAATCATCTCAAGGTGCTCAGACACAGCGGACTCAGCACCACAAGGAGGCCCATCACCTTCAGCTCAGGCCTTGATGGCAGTGTATGGCTCTGCATAATTCCAAATTCATTGTCTGTTTGTGATCCTCATATTATTCATGGTCGAAGCATTTTGTAAACTCCACGTGTCCATCTGTGCATGAGGTCGCCTGTTGTGTGAGCCAGGGCTCTCACTGTCTCTCTTTCTGACCCAGGTCTATTAGCGGGAAGAAGCTCTGCTCCTCCTGCGGGCTCGCTCTGGGTAAAGGAGCCGCGATGATCATCGAGACCCTGAATCTCTACTTTCACATCCAGTGTTTCAGAGTACGTACACACACAGCGCTCTCCTCTCAGAGCCGATGTCAGGGTCTGGATCTTTTCCTGTACTAATAAATCCCTCCTGTAACCTTGCAGCCTCTCCCTGTGTGATATAGACAGATGCAAGGGTCAGGCCCAGGTATAGACAGATGCGAGGGTCAGGCCCAGGTATAGACAGATGTGAGGGTCAGGCCCAGGTATAGACAG